TTTTTTTTTTTTTAAGGGGGGAAAATCATCGAATGACTGCTCCCGCCTGGGTGAGGCGGGAGGGAGTGTCAGACTCTTACTGACTAAAAACCACCCCGTTCCTTCTCCTGCACGTCGAGCCGGAGCCCCGGTTACCCGTTAGGTTCTCCGCGACTCCCAATTGGCATCGGCCCTGTTGGGCCCCATCTGTGGTGGTCTGATGGCTCTTTGTGGCGCGCGCGGAACGCTCGGGTCTGTTTCTGGTCGGACGGGGAGCCACCCATGCTCGCCGTCCGCAAGCCCGCGCTTACGGTGGGCGGAGATCGTCCCGCGAGCCCGGTGTGTCCTTCGCGATGGCTGGGTTGCGAGGAGGCAGCGCTTCGCTGCCTCACGCGTCCCGCCTCCTCCTTAGCTAGCATGACTGCTTCGCAATAGGAGGAGACGGCATCCCAGTCCCCCTCGCTCCGCATCATGGCCTGCACTAGGCCCGGACGCGAGAGGTCGCCATCGCCGATCACTTCCCTGAGGGCGGTGCTCAGCCCACGCAGGGCATTCCCCTACTGTGTGTTCCACAACACTGTGGAACACACAGTGAGAACACTCTCAGGGCGGTCCTCGCAGTGATGACACCCGGGCGTTTCCTCCCGCCCCATCAGACACAGGTACCTCCCGAAACTTCCATGTCCGGTGAGGACCTACTTCGGGCGCTAGGTGAGGACGCCGTAGCGTCTCTCAAGCCATGATGTATGGGAATAGTCTCACCCCCAATTACATGGGACTCATAACATCAGTGCAAAGAGGGTGTTACATTGCACAGTGGAATTAAGTGTCATGATGTGCACCTCTGCCTAGGGCGTGATGTTATGTTATGTTTAAAGTGATTGCATTAAAAATGATATCGTTTATATAAATGAATCTTACCTCACTCTCGATGGACATTTGACGATTCGTCTTCATAACGCCATTATTTAACGGCGCCTCCGGAATCTCTAACACTCGCCATCTGTAATTAATATAATTTAGTAAGTGCTCCAGGTTAAAATACATTTACAAGATTTACTTCTAGCTAGAGATGTAAAATAAATCTTAAGTGATAAGAATGGTCTCTGTGAGCACTGTAATAAATTGTTGTCATATTAAAATTAACCATTAATTAAAATCAATCTATAATTTCAATAAGGTTAGTACAAATAAACTAGTAATACATACTTGGGTGTGATAATCTCCTTGTAGGTGAGTATCTGCGGGCGCGTGTTGGCGGCCACGCTCTGTGGTATGACGATGTTGTCGATGTCGTACGACTGTCGCCGCCACGAACGAGACTCTGTACTCGACCGGCCACGGGGTCTGATACAATATACATTTTATTACTTGATGAGTATACAATATAGTTATCTTGATCATAGTGATATAATCAAGTCCAAATTACAATTCAATTAGAAAAAACCAATTAGAATCAACAAATACTTCTAGCTCCCCTGGTGTTGTTGATGTCCATGGGCGGCACAGATTGCTTATCATCAGATGACCAACTGCACATTATCTGTTACCATAAAAAAATTACCTTTCATGGCCTGACGTAGTTTCTTCATCTCTTTCTCTCTCCTTTACTTTTTTCGTTAGTGGCGGTCGACCCCTTTTTGATCCTGAAATATGGAAAAGTAAAATGAAATTTATTTTTACAATTAGACAAAAGAGTTCTCTCTCTTCTCTAACGTTCCATTGAATCCAATGGAACGTTAGAGAAGTCAGAACTGGTAACAAAGTGATTAGGAACAATATTTAAAATTTAATTTATATTTCTATGGTTAATTTGAAGGTTTAGATAGCAGAGAGTAGAACATAACAAGGGCAACAAGATGACGACGATTAAACAAAGATATAACTTACGTGGGGGGTGTCGTTTGAGAGACTTTGACGTGTGTGTGGAGGACGAGTGCGCGCGGCCCGAGCTGGACGCGGCCTGCGGCGCGTGGGACGCGTGGGACGCGTGGGACGCGTGGGGCACGTGCGACGAGTGCGACGAGTGCGGCGCGTGCGCCGAGTGCTGCGCGCCGCGCCACGCACGGCCCGCGCGCGGACGAAACCACGCGCGGCTCGCCAGCGCGGACAAGTGCAGGGACGGGGACATGTCTGTACAACAATCATACATAAACATTTCGTTTCACACATAAGCTACAGAATACATTTCAGTATTAATGTTGTGATTGCTATGATACACATTTACTTAGTATAGCTGAGGCTAAAATATCGTCACGGTATGTGATTGCAAAATTAGTTAGTCAGAATTTGAAATACAGATGCACAAACATATTTTGTCCTGCTCCCAATATTTCTAATTACAATTTTACTGATGTTTATTTTTATACCTTTGATATCACTAAGTACAGGATGGAAGCCAGGGTCGACAGCGGCAATGCGAAGACGAGGCGGCACGGTACTGAAGGGTGGGGCAGGCTGGGTCGGCTCCGCGCGGCCTGTGCACACTGCACAACTCTCCAAGCCTTGCTCACAGCTGCACCTGTGCATCAACATTTAAATTTAAGAAAAATATGCATTGGAAAATATACTCACCCTATTTGCATGTAGTAAAACATCTCAAAATCATTGTAGGCCTTGAAGTAACAATGCTAGAATGTTACTAAGTACTTATAACGACTAGAATACTAAGCTCAATTACGTCTAATGAGTAATAACTAACTTGATGTCTGATGGTCGAGCAGCCTTCTGTGTGGCGATGTGTAAATTATGCATTTGCAGTAATTTCCTCTTTTTGAAGGTCTCTCGTCGCAGCGGACGCACGCGAGCACAGGTCTCATGCGAAGGATGGTCATCAGGTAGCTCAGAGCCCGGCAGGGAACCTTCATAGGCAGCTGGTTCGCCTTCAAACTCCACTCGTCCTTTTGCTTCACGGACCTAGAAAAAGACGATGACATGAAATAATATTGACTGTAAGGTTACCTTGTATCCTAAGTATGCATTCTTGAAAGGTAACCTTGGTTTGGTTAAATCACCAAATTCAGAGCGTAACTGAAAATGCTGTTGTGAAATCTTTAAATAATAGTATGGTGTACGGTAATAATTACGTAAAGTGGGTATAAAATCTGCACCTCTGACTACAATCATTCAGGTATATTGATATTATATTTTTACAGCGAAAATATAATTAATTAAATTACAATTATCAAGACCATGAGACAGAATAATACATTACATAGGGAACTCTAATAAAATGGTACAACCTATCCCAAAACCCAGCGGATTAAAAAAATCAGCAACGGCGCGTCATTGTTGAATGTGGCCTTGAGTTTGCGGCATGCGCGCGAACTGTAACTTGTTTAAACATGTTACCCTAGCTAATACGTCAACTGACACAGTATTTATTTATTACAATACTAGCGACCCGCACCGGCTTCGCACGGGTGCAATATGCATGATATAAACCTTCCTTAAGAATCACTCTATCTATTAAAAAAAACCGCATCAAAATCCGTTGCGTAGTTTTAAAGATCTAAGCATACATACGGACATACAGCGAAAGCGACTTTGTTTTATACTATGTATTGATTATGGAACAGTTTATTCATTGTTCTGCAGCTGTTGTAAATAATTTGGATTCAAATAGATCATATAAAAGCAGATTAATTTATAGTGAAATAATTTTTATGGTGTTGCTAAGCTTCGAGATTTGCGCTTTGAATGATATGAAATATTTGAAATCTGGAAGACTACAGTTACCTACTTAGAAGAAGACATAACATCAAGCCTTATAATATAGTAGTAGTAGTAAGTAATAGACAGAGATGTATAATGTGCAGATGTACAAATTTCACAATAATTCATGTTATGAATCCCAAGTATTAGTGGTCAAGGAAGGAAGCAGTCATGCCAGCTAAGTAGGAGGCGGGGCGCGTGACGAACCTGCTCACGCCCCAACCATAGCGAGAGACACTGTGGGTGTGGAATCGCGAGACGATCTCCGGCCACTGTCAGCACGGGCTTGCTGACGTCAAGCACGGGTGACTCGCCGCCTGACCAGAACCAGACCCGAGTGTACGGTGCGTCGCGTTCCGCGCAAAGAGCCATCAGACTACCACAGACGGGGCCCAATATGGCTGATGCCGATACGAGCCGCGGAGCACTTAACGGATTGCCGGGGGCTCCAGCTCGAAGTGCAGGAGTAGGGACGGGGTGGTTTTAAGTCAATACGAGTCTGACCCCTCTCGCCTCACCCGGACGAGAGAAGACATTGGATGATTTTCCCCGCTCAAAAAAAAAAGTTGTTGAGTGAGCCTACTTGTACACACATGCTTATGTAAATCATGTAAAAATAAAGATTTAAATAGATGACTATTCACTATGACTAAAGTATCGAATTATTTTCCTCTACACTACTACACCTTATAAACAGAATCATTATTGTCATCATCAAAAACACTACATACAAAGTTTTAGAGGATTTTGTTTAAAATATTATGTTATAGTACTTTCAGATTTATTTATTTTAAATTGAGGCGTCACAACATTGACACATCATTCATTCAAGCTATGTAGGTATGTAACCTTTTAAATTTAAGATAAAAGGTTAAGGTCTAGGCAGAAGTAATATGTGGTCATGTAGAGGTTTATCAAAATCACTCATTACAGATGAAAGCTCATTGACCGCTATATCTTCTAATTAGATTTTTTTTAACTTGGACAATTTGGTATAAACATAACATCTAAGGCTACATAATTAACAAAATAAATTATTGTTACAACAGTGTGTTATCTAGTCAAAACATTAGTTACAGAAGTCTAGATACAGGATTATAAAGGACAGTTTATTATTACACATACATAGACATGTATCTTAACATTGATATGTTTCACTCACCTGTTTGTGCAGTTCATTATGTTGCCTGATCCTATACTCTAACTCCTGAACTTGGGCTTGCAGCCAGCACCAGCGAGAAGCAATTGACGCCCGGGAGCGTTGCCACGACCATAGCGCGCGTTTCTCACTGAAACAAGAGAATAACACTGTCAATACATGAATTTGTATTTTATGTATTGTGAGATTTTGCTTGCATTCTCAGGATAAAAGTATTGTAAGTATTCCAAACTATAATCTATCTCTCAGCCGAATTACATTCAGATCCCTTCAGTAGTTTTTGTGTCAAAAACTAACAAACATACATCCTATCTTCGCAAACTTAATAAACTTTTATAATATTAGTAGGAAGATATTTTATCTTAATGGGAAACCACTGTAACATTGCCCAATTAGATCAGACAAAAGTGCATTGCCAACTACATGTACAGGAAATTGTTTCAACGCAACATCATTTTTATTTCATTCATCATCTGAATATAAGCTTCAAACCACACTATAATTTGTTTATTTAGAGTCAAATTTAAGAGGCTGGGTCAAACTCGACACCATTATTATTATAAACATTATAATAGCAAGCTCTCCAATCTTAGCTTACTTAGGTACTTAAGTAACAAGTAGGTACAGGTGAAGGTTTAGCTAGCTCAATAAAAAAAATTATAAAACACAAAATGCTAATTAAAATTGTAATTAGATAATACATTTACTCAGGTGTTTAGCTAGCTAATATGTATACTATTAGAATTAGTCACCATTTTGCTTACAAAATAAACAAGTTAGAAATTACTTTCAATTTCATAGTTTATCTTGGAAGAGCAGAGGTACAAAACTAATATAATAGAATTATTAAAACTCTTATCCAGTTGACTACATTCAAATAAGATGCACATTAAAACCTAAAAGAATCTCTAAGTTAATAATAATAATAATATGTATGTATATTCAATAATGTAGGTATGTATATGACTATCTATATTATGTATAGTTTACCTACATAATAAAATATTGAAACAAATTATCTTTCTATCAATATTATAAGTGTGAAAGCTTGTGAGGATGTATGTACACATAAGAGTAACAAGCACACACATGCTTGTTACTACTACTAGATTAAGCTCTATAATAACATATGGGCAAGTTTTTATCCCATGGGAACACAGGCAAAACCACTAGCAGAATCTTGTATAGAATAAACTACAAATTACAGAAAGTGAGACCACTTATAAAATCTAAACAAGTTTTTAAAGTTTGAAATGCAGGAGTTAGATAGATATTTTTTTTTATCATTACTAATGAATTACTGTGACACATTTTATGTTACTAATTTATCATAGTCTCCAATAACATAATTAACTATGTCATTAGAGACTTGGTTGCCATACAAAGAAAAAAACTATGTTAAAAATCTGAATAAGGTCAAGGTTTCACTTTCAATACCAAAAAAAATTATACAGGTATTAAATATTATTGTTTCACAATCACAAATGAGCATTTTCATTTGACAATTTAATAGGTAAATGTAACCACTAAATGAATAAATAATAATTAATGCAATTACTGGGTAATTGTATAATAATGTACTCAAGTTCCCTCATAAAAATCAATGTGGTTCTCATTGTTCTCTCTTATTGTATTGTGAACCAGAAATAAGATTCCTACAGGTCATCAACCCTTGTAACCTATAAAACAGTTTCATGGATATTACAGCATACTGATATGAATCTGATAAAGTCAACAAACAAGATATCCAACAAAAGATCTAAATTTTAACTAGGTATAACTTAACACAGCATTCTTCATCCACTTACATAGGGTCAAATGAAATGATGCAATATCATAGAAGCATGTGAAAGTGACAAACTACAAAAGAAATTATACCTATTTAAAGGTAGTTAAGTAGTCATTATAGAGCCAACAGAATAATAATAATCAATTATACTGTTACTAAAAACATGTTTGGTACATCTTATTGTAAATTAGCAGGGTCAATCATATATTATGTACCAGACCAACATCCTGTCAATCAGTACAAATATACCTTCTGTACCAAAACTATCATAGCAGAGATCAAACACTGACAATAGGAACTGAGATATACATCATCACCCTGCTTTATTGTTAAGGATACACTATCCTGACCTTCCATTTATCTACTATTTACATCTTAACAGTATTGAGCAATGCAAGATCAAAACATGGAGATTACTAAAATATCACTTACATTGGCATCTGCTGTTGATGTGGGTTATTGTAGGTGACAGCCTCATCATTACTCTCTGCTCCTGATGATGACAGGGTGGCATCAGAGTCCAGCTCGTGTTTTACCACGGATAGGTGTGAACGCAGTGCTCCTGCAGTATCTTCCAAGCCTGTCAGTGTACCGGACGGTATGCCAATACTTGCAGATTTTGATGCATCACCTTTAGATGTTCCAGGGTTATAGTACTTAGGGCCAACAACTGTCCTCGATGCTGCACTAGCTTGTAACGCAGATGTTGTTTCTATAGTTTTTAAAAATGTTTTCAAACCCACTGGTCTACCACCACCACTGTCCTTGCGGACACCTCGTGTACATTTCTCAAAAGACTGAGACGCTTCTTCAGATACTTTTTTCCCAATAGCACGAGCCTGTAATATTCTTAATCTCCTTTGTAAGAAAGAACACCTTCTCTCAAGACGCAGCTGCATGACTTTAATCTTCTCTTCCATAGCATCTCCTTCTGAATCTGCAGGCTCTGCCAACTCAAATCCAGATAGAGGAAATATTGCCTCTGGGTCGTCAGTAGACAGAGCTTCTCCTCCAGAAAGTGTGTCACCACCAGTTTCGAGGGTTTTTATAGCTTGAAGCAAATCTCCTTGTTGCTCCAGATCACTGTTTCCCAAATCAACCAAGATCTGCTCCATCTCTTGAGAGTCTTTAGCGAGACTAGGCTGATTCTGTGGTCCCATATCATCTTCATCCATATGTGGTGCGAGGTTATCGACGGACGCAAGCGCCCGCCTTCGTTGACTCAGTGGCCGCTCTATTTCTCCAAACAAATTAGAGTCGTGGATGTGCGGCTCTCGGGATACTATAGACAATGCTGGTGCCATGACCTGCACCTCGCCCGCCGCGGACGCTGGCGCGCTCGCCGCGTCAGGGCGGGCTTCTTCTACAGTTCATTGCGACCTTATGTAACACTAATAAAGAGTTCACAGCACTGGCACTACACTCAGTTTCACTAAAACACAGTTTTTGACCACCATTGTCCATGCAGTTAGTCCCCTGCCGGTTCCATTACGAGCCAAATAGAACGGCGGGTCGTCAGCGACTCGGCGCGCTTCTGAAAACAACGTTTATGAAGGGTTATGAACCGGTTTTTTTTCTATTCACACAACTCAGTGTCACTGTACACAACCATTTTATGTAAAAAATGAAAAATTGAATACAAAAAGCTGCATAATTCGAAATTTAACCCACGTGATAACGAAAAGAGTACGCTAGTGGTCGTAGTTGCTTGTTTCTATACGATATGAAACAGGAAATGATACACTTCCAAAACACTTTCGGTGCTCACAATTTAGTAGATTTTTTAACTTGACTACATTACACTCGCGTTTAGCTGATAGTATAGCATCTAAATAATGACAATGAAGTTTTTTTTTAGTAATAATGGCGGAACCAGGCTAAAAAACACTAGCGAACTGGGTAGGTAAGGTACTCATATCCAGTGACGAAACGTTTTGCCGCACACAATTTCGTTCGCGAAGAGTAAGTTGTGCAAAAGAGATAGCAAGCTTGTCCTTGGGTTAGTACCTGCGCGGTAAAGTCAAATTAATTATCAAATATAAAACGGCACACATATTTATACAATTATTTGCGTCTATTTAAAATTTATTTTAATCGACTCTTTATAAAATATTTGTACTTATTGTAATTTATATTTTTCTTTAATAATATCCAAACGACTAGGATCTTTGCCGCCACACAACAATCAATAAAGTGTTTCGTTTACGTCATTTTGCAGTACGTACTTTTAACACTTTGATTTTAATATCGAAATAAACTAATTAATTAAAATAGACGTATACCATTAAACAATTATTAATTACATAACATTTTTACATAAAAAGTTATTCAAGAGATCAAGATTGCATTTCCGGTCGCTTGGAAAATCATTATTGCGTTCCAGATAATCGCGTTACTGAGTCTTTAACATGAATAGACAGACTGAACGTTTCATTCCACGTTACGTTTAGTCTGTGCGTTTAGTTATCCGTTATGCTCTTATCAGTCAGTCAGTTCGCTTGGGACGGCAGATAATATTTTTAGTTACTATGATTTCGCAATAGGTATTATCTATTTGAGTTTACAGAATTTAGTTTCAACAATGGATTTTAATGGTAACTGTACACGCGTATATAAAGCATGATGTTGAATTAAATTATAAGACAAAAAACAGAGTTCAAATTAATCAGTTTCCTTTGTTCATTGAAAGTGATACTACATTTCATTGGTACTTTATCTACATTGATACTTTTTTACCCGCAGATTTCGTGTATAAAATTATTATATTTCCTTATTTATCGAATTTTATTTTTTCCTTTTTACATGATAGTTTATGATTAAATGGCATTTTTACAGGTAATAAGGCTTTTTTTGAATGAAAAAGAATGTGTAAATACCGAATTTTGTAAGTATTTGGTATTTTTTATATGAAACAACAGAATACAATCTAGAATTCTAGAATAACTCAGACCAAGACCTGATATAAAAGCAATCACATTCGATATATCTACTGAATAAAACGAGTACCTACCTACTTTAAGAGCTAATATTTGATAAGAATACTCTTGAACAGGTGTGATACAAGATTTTTTTTAAGAAATGTGGTTAGTACTTAGATAAAATTCGTTCAATTATTTTTAATTATCATCCACCTAGTGTAATGTACTGTTTTCAGAATTATCTAGAATTATTTTAAAATGGCAGTTCAAATTTACAATAATTTTATGGCCTATGAAAAAGAAATATGCAACTGATTCAGATATTGAAACAGTTAAATGTATTTTAGTCTTTGACCTATCAGTTAAAATTTATTATTTTGTAATAACTTATTTGTAATTAATTAGTATATCTTTCCTTTTAAATAAAATAAAGGATAATAGAGCACAGCATCAATAAAAATGCACTAAAGTGTAACATAATAATAGGTACAGATACGCCTAGTCAAAGAAGGTGGCCCGTCTGCATCAATATGATGCTGGTTACTTCGCTATAAGCTACCTAAAATATATATTTTTAGGAATATCCATTCCGAATTAATTCTTTAACTTTCACCGAAGAACCAATTTTTAGATTTTACAGATGAACAATTTCACCATGCTAATTGTTTTAGATTAAGTACAGTTAATTCGTTTTAATGCATTTTGATATAATTTAATCTAATAAAATACTTCATCACAACTAGGTAGGTTTCTGATGTAAAAAAATCTTACCCATGGTTAAGAACCGGTACACAGGACCTCAAAAATATGTATACCTACAGAATATTTCTTCTCAAGAATAGAACTGAGTAATATAATGACTAAATCAACCCCTTTTTCATACATACCTCTGATACTGTGAACATTGATGTTATATCTTGTGCTTCCAAGTTGCAGTATAGTAAGGGTTGTTTTCTAACCCCCATTCTGCAGCTACTTATACCCTATAATAAAGAAAATTTAATGAATAAACACTGTCCATACAAACTACGAAACTTACAAATAAAATTAAATATTACTGCACTCAATACTATCTTTACTGACAGTTGCCTGACATAGAAGTTACAAAAATAATGTCACTAATGTCAGTAACTTGAAAAAACAAAAATCTATTTTTGTACAATTTGTGATAACATAGTCATAAGGCTAAATTAATCTTTATATTCAACACCCTAACACCTTTTGTCAATATCTTTGACTAATCTTATGAAGTCCCAACAGCAACTAAGCCAGAGAGAGTTACCTATGATTATTATGAATGCTAATAATACGCTTGTTACTAAGCAAAAAAACAAAAGTATCTCAGAATTATGTTATATCAGTATAAGTAACTAGAATAGTTAACACATACTAAGTCTGTGAGACATATAGGTGCTATACTCATGCTTTAACTTCTTTGATTATCGGTAGTACCTAATTATTTGAAATGCTACAATATGTTATGGAATTATATCTTGGAATTCTTATTGTATTCAAATACAGTAGCTATACAAGTATTAAGCAATAATTAAATATAATGTTGTTTAGTGAAATAATTAATATATTTCCGCTAAGACTAAAATTGAGATTCAACAGGAAACTTTTAATCAATTAGGTACAATTTTGAAAAGAATTTCATTAATTTTCTTACAGTAATTTGGTATAGAAACAAACAGATCATAGAAAGTGTACAACAAACATATTCCAATATCACTTTAAAGTTACATTACCTCATACAAAATGTTTGTGTCATTTTACCACAGTTTTTAGTAATGAGTTTAACTCCAATTCCATCTTTTTAATTACCTACAATAAGATATGTAATATAATTAATTCCTTTCATAACGAATATGTGCATTATATCCAAAGTCATGTACTTAGGTACAATTTTGTGAACATTTGATTCCATTAGTTAAAAAAATTGTAAAGATGAATTTAAGTTCTTCTCATACAGGTGGGAACTAATTGTGTTACAAGAATTATTATGATATTGTGTTATATTCTAATGCATGAATAACAATGATTTGAAATGTATTCAACCTGGTACAGTAATTTCATGTTTTCTTAATATTTGCAAACATACCTAATATGAAAATAAAGTAATTTTGTGTTTAAATGTAAAAAATATAAACTATGTTAGTTGATATCTCTAGCAAACACATTGAGCACGTAATTATTGTACCTACCTTAAATAGGTTTATATAGGCTGAAATGGGCTTGTACCTAGGTATTTTATACAAAATGTTTATACTTACAAAATACCTTAGTACAAGTTCAATGGCTGTGAATTAATAATGTGACTGAGTAATTTTATTAACCATCCACAATAAATCTGATACAGTTCCACTGAAACTGTTTTAGTAATTAAATCCCCAGGTGTAAAATATTATGATATTATTTTTAGGTACCTAGAAGTCAAAGAAACCAGCTATTGAAATAGAAACAAAGTTATGTACTTATGAGCTAAATAAATAACTATAAATTTGAAGAAAAATACAATACTTATATAGATGATTTTTTGACATACCTATATTTGGAAAAAATAATTTTATTTATTCTTACCTTACACGCAACGACCAACGACGATATTATTATAGAGAGGGAATAGGGAATGGGGAAAGATAAAAGAAGTGAAATGTAAGTATGGATAAAAATATGTACCTAGATACTGTCTGAACAAGTTACTTCGTAAGAAGTTTTATTATCAAGTTATTAGGATATAATCATTATTTTGAACTATGCTATGTTTTTTTATTTTTTTCTAATTTCTTTACCTTCTTCCAGAACTGCAAAGTGTTGAGGCAATGATCAACGAAACGAATGAAACGAATCAACGAAGTGAACGAACGTTCTAAAACTTTGTAAATAGCTATAGTAAACATAATTACAACATAATGTCTAATATGTTTTGAATTAATACTCAATTTGCTATTATCTTCTTAACTAACTAATAAAAATATATTTACATATTTTCTGATCCAAAATCCAGTAACATTTTCTTCAATGTTGTACCATTTTTTAACTTTATATCTTGCGTTTGAACGTACCACATAAGGTAGCGTTGTCAAAAATACTCTCAGTTTGTCAAAATTGTCAATTTGCTGTCAACGTTCGGCGCGCTTAGATAGCCGCTAACCTTTTACTGTTTTGTGTATCATTAATTCGGCTTAAGTTGCTATCCGAAATGGCCAAAAGTTTTGATAGAAGTCTTCAAATGCATACAACGCAGTTTACACCTTTGAAAAATCGAAAAAATAGGCAGTTATTAGCAAGGGAAGATACCTTAAACCTATCGCCTATTTTGAACGAAACCTCTATATTCAAAAATCTCAACGATACCAGTCTAAGGCAAGTGCTTGATGAATCTTCAATAATAGTGAATCCTGGAGTCTCTGCCGAAGGTTTAAGCGAAGCATTCTTTGAAATAATACAGACGAGTCGCCCAAGTGATGTCTTAGACACGCTAGCCAGGTTAGCACAAGTATGTTGTGATTCTCTGGAACTGGTCGAGCCATGGAACAGGTATAATGCACAAAACTATTGGCTAGCTGAAGAAGCTAACACATGGAAACTGTTACATTGTTTATATGCTGACTCTATAACTGAACATCCAGAATCTTTAGAGAGTTTGGTAACTGAAACTACATTATCTCAGCAAACCTTGGTGAATGCTTTGTTTAGGAGTGACTCTGAATTAAGATTGCTGCAAGTGCTAGTTGATTGGCTAGAAGCTACTGCAGCATACCAAGAGGAAGCTACAAAGACCTCAGCTCCTATAATAAGCAATAATATTCATTGGGGAAACACTTTACATCAATTATTGCTTGGAAATAGCTTGTTTAATAAAGAGAAGAGCAAAGCAATGGTTACTTGTATGGATCCTGATGCACCAAGACGTCAGAAGAAATTGATACACTCAGAAGATCAAAAGGATGATAATGATTTGTGCAAGCGCATATTTACTGAGGTTAGGTGTGGCAAGTTCAAAGATGCGGTCTCCTTGTGTATTAGTGCTGGGCAGGCATGGAGAGGAGCTGTTCTGCAAGGGTGGATATTACTTCACTATTTACCACAAGAAGAACCCAATTCTGCTTTAGAAATAAGCGGTAACCCATCAAGAGATTTGTGGAAATGGTGTTCATTGGGACTTGCTAATAATACAGCAGAGAACATTCACTACAGAGCTACTGTTGGAGTTTTATGTGGTCATCTTGCCAGTACACTCCCAGCTTGTCAAGGTAGTTGGGAAGATCTTCTCTGGGCTCATCTAAGAGCACAAATTGAGGCAAGAGTTGATAAGTTTTTACATGAACATCATCTTACAGTTGATGCTAGCACAACACCATCAGATGTTTTAGAACTCTTACAGTCAGAGCTTCAGGTTGATGAATTGACATTACAACAGATTTTTAGTGCTGTAAAAGCTTTGATGGATGGTAAAAAAGAATCTTTATACCAAACTTGTCAGCGTCACCTTATGCTTGGTCACGTTCGAGCCATCATGCAGGATTCTTTGCAATGGATTGACAGCTGTGATGACAGGTTTATTAGATTTTTGGCACACCTTATTCTAATTTTAAGACAAATGGGTAAAGATCCACAACATGATATCGGGGATAAAATTCTGGAGAAATATGTTACAGAACTTGTGAGTAAATTAATTGATGGGTCTGTGGAATGTCCCGAGCTCATAGCATATTACACTTCTACTGTTCCTGTTGCCAGACAGACTGTACTATATGCGGAACTAATGGATCACATCAGCAAAAGTGAATACAGAGAGGGGGTTGTAAAAGCAGGGCTCAATGCTGGCATTGATGTGGGTGCTTCTGCTAGAGTTGCTATAAAAAAAGCAATTGCAGATATTCAACAGGGATATGGTAATCTAGATTTGACTTTCACTCAAACTACAGCCGTTGAAAAGGATAAGACCTTAATTCAAAAAGTTATATCATCTCTTGAATGGTTATCTCTTATATCAAATCAAGTTGAAGAAGCCTTGTGGCTTAGTAATGCTATGATTAGAACTTTCATTTTTATTGGAAATACAGATGCTGCTTTGGCTTGTGTTGTTAATGTCAACAAGATGTTCCCAGATTTTTTAAATAAAATATCTTCTAGCTCAGCGGAACTGAGAGAACATCTATGTTTGAAAGCCTATTTGGAAGCATTAGAAGGATTTGCTACTTGGTACAGACATTTTATCAGTGGTCAACCTAAAGATGTGGAACCACTTGCTCCAGATGCATCATTTTCTGATAAAGTGCATCATGAACAAAGATGTGCTCAAGTGGAACAACAAAAATCTCGTTGGCTGAATGCTGTACAACATCAAGCAAGACACACAAAAAATTTACTGTACAATGTTTTACTGTTCCCTGGTGGATGGCTTCAAGATGAAAGTGATAGTACAACTTCTGAAAAGTTCAATGATGATGAAAAGCAGGAAAGAATTAAACAGTTGGAGACTTTAAGACGGCTTTGTATTCCTGAAATAGTTGTTCTGATTTTAAAGATTTTGCAAAGTACTGAGGACATTGAAAGTCATAAAGAAGCTTTGAAGTTATGTGACCTCATTGCTGCAGAAAACAGATGCTTGTACAAGGTGTTTACTAAGAGCAAGATGATGGAAATCTTGGACAGGATTAAGGAATCGTCACTAATATTAATTGAAAAAGGAAGAGATATGTTTGGATATGAAATAATTGAATAATTGTCTTTTTATTCCACTTTTAAAATAAATATTTGTATTAACATTATATATATTTTTTTTTACATAATGAATGACATAGAGTACAAAAATAATGAACAAACTTAAAAGTTACTATTTACTAGGGTGCGACTAGGGTACAGTCACAGGATTCAAATTGATCAAATCATTACTAGACTCGGCTAAGTCTGTGATAGAGACTCTGCCTCTTTGTCTAATAAATTTAGCAACATCTTCAAGCTCTTTCTGTGATATGTAAATGAATTTTCCCCTGTCGTCTATAACACCAGTCAGTTCACCAGAAGATTGCAATTCTGTTATTCTGTCGATTGCAGCTTGTGTCTTCAGTTTGAAATGTGCCGCCAGATCTTCAAGCAAAACTACCTTTTGTGCCTGAAAATAATTTGCAATTTATTATTGTATCTTAATTTATGAGAAATAGTTTAAAAAAATTAATTTAGTAAGGTACCTAGTTTCCTGAATTTTATTTTAAACTGTCAAACACCAAGCGGTCACCGATGACCGCAACCTATTGTTGTTGTGTCTACAAAACCGGTACTCGATGAGTTAATGTTCATCTGATAGATTAATTTACAACATTAGACATGTATTATTTCTTCTCCCACAAAATTAAATACTTTCGACAATATATTAATTTGAAATAATTTATAATTGAATAACTCCATTTTATCTAAGTATTGTAACTTTATATGAGAAAATAAAAAAAATATGTGTCTAATATTTTTTCATTATCTAACTAGACTAATAAGATTTTTAATTTTCATACCCTGGCAACTACCCTGTTGATCACTTAAGTATAAGTGATCTTATTATTTACCTTTATGTAGTCAATGAAGTCTTTCAGTAAGTTTTCTTTATCCTGATCGTCATTTTCGTCAAAACCCTCGCCTTCCACAGTAAATGCTGCTTTCATAGCTTCATATTCTTCTTGTTCGCGTCTCTTACGTTCCTCTTCTGCTTTACGCTCAGCTTCCTCTCTCTGACGTTCTTCTTCCTATAAAATTAAACAAAATCGTAAATTTAGGCAGTCCTTAGCAAACCTTATTACTTGATTACATTTGCAAGTATTTGCTATGCTTGTTAGTCAAACAGGCTTCAAATTATGGGTATACTGATATATTATCAAGATAATTTTTGTATTTCACCTCCTGTTTTTCTTCAATCTTTTTCCTTTCTTGTTCTAGTTCTTCATCTTTCTTCTTTTTGATCTCTCTCATTTGCTCTTCTGCTTCCCTAGCCTTCTTTTTCTCCATTTTTGCTTCTAGCTTAGCCCTTTTCTGTAAATAAATAAATAAGTACTTATTCCTATTATATTTCCTATTAGTATTATATGGCAATAGGTTCACCCCCTATTACATTGGACTTATCAACTAAATAGTGAAAAGTGGGTGTTACATTGAACAGTGGCATAGTGTACACCTCTGCCTACCCCTTTGGGAATAAAATTGGTTATGTTATGTTATGTTATTCCTATAATGTTAACATACATACCTATGTCAGTTTTATGTGAATTGTTATTTTATACTAATATTTCAGTTTTCAATAAAGATTTTACCTTGGCACCCATTTTATCATCAAATTCAACTTTTTGAGTCTCAGTAGGATTATCTTCTTCAACTTCATCTACTACATCTGGTTCCTCCTCGAGAGCCGCTGCTTGGTGTCGAGCAGCTACAACCATAAAATGTAGATTTATTATAACAACACTGTATTAATTATTATTGTTGTTGTTGTTGCGAAGGCCTCATACCATTAGCTCTCATCCGTGCTCTTTGATTACGAACAGCTTGTACTCTTCCAGGACCTCCATCTCTCTGGGCTACTGCTCTAGGCCTTGCTCCACCTATAAGGAAATTCAATAAGACAAATTGAAACTAATAAGAATGATAACCATTCTTTTATCTCAACTTGCCCTTAGGGTGAATGCAAAACCTAAGTAGTGTGATTTGTTAGGGGAGGTAGTTTGTTTCATTCTTCAGGTTTGTGTTGGCAATTTCAAGAAAATTTCTTACCTTGTGGTTTTATTTGCGATCCTACCCGTAAGAAAGCAACGGATAGTAATACTATAACAATTGCACTAATAATAGCTGCAATAATAAAAGGATCCATGGCTGTTTCGGAGTTAAAATAAATAAACTACACTTAAAAATATTACGTTTACACTTTTTATCACATAAGATTTACAAATTACTTTAGAGAAGAAATTGGACTTAAAATATATTTAATTCTAGCGTGAGAAACATGTTTCTTCTTCGGACAAAAATCGTAACATCTGCGAAAACAAAACGTCATCAGATATTTGTCAATAAAATGTCAAAGGAAGGATGATGAACCAAATGAACGTCGCTTTTTTCTCGATGAAATCTGGAATTAGTGTTTCGATTATTTAAAATTATGAATTTGGATAAAATATCTCCTGAAGTGTGAAATTAGACAAAAATAACTTGTAGATTTTTTTATGACAATAAGAAAATAATCTTATTTGATAAACTGAATGCATCTGTTACGATTTGACGTTTAAAATGTCGGTGACGTGTGTCATGTCATTATAGTTTTTTGCCGAATGTAATACGCTGGAAAAATGGAATTATTCAAAGTTTCTTCGATATTTGCTCTATTTTTCTTCTTAGACGTAACCTCAGCTTTATATTTCCACATAGCTGAAGGTGAAAGAAAATGTTTCATAGAAGAAATTCCGGACGATACGACAGTTATAGGTAAAGCTTCTTCTGGGACCTGCCTTTCATTTTTGTGCCACGGTATTTTACCTATATTTGTGGTAAATAATGCTAATTGTATTTTACAGTGAATTACAAAGTGGAGTTATATGATCCGAGATCTGGAGGTTTCATGCCATCGACCCCTGGCATAGGTATGCATGTGGAGGTTCGAGATCCCAATGATAAAGTGTTGATGTCTCGTGTGTACTCGTCAGAAGGCATGATATCATTCACGTCTGTGACGCCGGGAGAGCACGTTATCTGTACGTACTCCAACAGCACATCTTGGTTCAGTGGTTCCCAGCTCAGAGTGAGTATGAGTATACATATTTTAGTTTGTTGTTTATAAGAGAATGTCAATCACAATGTAACTATTTAATATTCTTAACGAGAATAAAACATATCTATCTATCCACCGTTGTATGTTATAAACTCATCTTCAATGGTTATTTAGCACTGAAGCAGGACACTTGTGCAAACAAAACTATGGTTTTATATTTCCACAATACTTTGAAGGCTTAAAAGTTTTTTGCCTAAGTAATTTGCTTATGACTGATTATTTTGTTAAACAGGTACACTTAGACATTCAAGTTGGTGAGCATGCAGTGGACTATGCCAATGTGGCTCACAAGGACAAGCTGACAGAACTACAGCTAAGGATCAGACAGCTGCTTGATCAAGTACACCAGATCACAAAGGAACAGAGCTATCAAAGGGTGGGTTTATATTACTACCAGCTTATTATAACATACATTTAGATTTGTTCCAATAGGACTGACAGCTATTGTTAGTCCTATTGGAACAAATCTAACTAAAATTTAAAAAGTCTTTATGGTTTTCAAATAAACCCTCCTTTTAACTCGTTGAGTACCGTCATTATAGACACAATTATAGAACAATAGGTGGCGGTCACCAGTGACCGCTTAATGTTTGACAGTTTAATAAGCTTTTCTATCTATGTTTCAGCACCGTGAGGAGCGTTTCAGACAGACTTCAGAGAGCACAAACCAGCGTGTACTCTGGTGGAGTCTTCTCCAAACTGGTGTGCTTGTTGGCATCGGTTACTGGCAGATGAGACATCTCAAGAGCTTCTTTGAAGCCAAGAAATTAGTCTAAATTATTAATAATAAACCATTATAAGTTCTATATTATTAGTCATGTCCTATTATTTTCATATTTCCTGGAAACCAGTGCATTATTTATAACTTATGTTTTGTGAGTGTATTACATGTTGATCTGTATTTTTGAAATAAAACCAAATTATTCTATGAAAGAATTTAATTCTTACATATCACCTAATGGTCTATATAGCACTTAATAACAAAACATTTAATATGGAACATCACATTCTATATCTTATAACTTTGCGTTTAACAAATATTTTACAGCAGCACTTAGAAATAAGGAATGAATGGGAGCACTTAAAGTTTAACCTTTTGAGCGCCAATGTCACATATACGCGACAAGCGAAAACTGTCCCTGGACGTCAACGACACAAATACATGACAGAAAAAGCGGAACCAGAAACACGAATTATTGGAATCCCTATTGTTGATACAATAGGGATTCCAATAATTCCTATTTCTTTCGTAGAAATTTGCGTGGAATTTGTGGCTTGGTGTCGAAGGCAGGTTCATGTGTTTTTGCTCTGGCGTTCAAAAGGTTAAAATATGACAGTAAAATGTAACAGTGTAAAAATATATGATTTTTGTTCAAAAATACAAAATATTGTTGATCACATAATAAAATGAGGTTTGTGTTAAAAACAATCTTTTATTTGCCAGCATCTAACAGTTCATAAAAATAGCCTTGATAAATTTTCTCATGATTCCTACAAAATAACTTAATTCTCAACTCTAAATATGCTATCTAAGTAATTAACAAAAATTGATGAATTGGCTTTAGTGAATGGAGTAAGCAAAGTGAAGTCCACCATGTTCAGTGTACTTATTAATGTATCACATGTGCAGTAATATAGGTGAGAGTCAATTTGGAGTTGTTCTGCTAGTTCCAACTGGTGATTGTCCATCAGATCCTCATTCACAACTACCAGGAGCGGCTTGTTGGCTTCCAAAGCCTCCAGACAGCTGCCAGCCCCGGCATGACTTACCACCAAGTCAGCACTCTTCATATCTTCCTGAATCGAATCTTTAAACCTATACATATTTATCTTAATGCCCTCCTTCTCCAACACACCAGGTTCCACATTGCTATTACCAATCTGAAACGTTATTTCTTTACAACCAATATTTTTTAGCGCCGCCAGCACCGGTTCAGTCAAAATATAGTCGCAAAGTAAATCAAATCTCGTTGTGCCGACTGTTATGAAAATTTTCTTATAATATTGCTGCGCCATTATATATATAATTTCTATTAAATTTAAGGTATTTTAAAATACCATGCTTCTTGCAAAATCCTTTACTACTTGAAAAATATCTTCAGAACAATATTTTATTATTTGAGATTCACATTCACAACATCAACACAATTTGATTCGATGAGGTGACAGTAAAATGACAAATTTGACAGTTTTTATTTGACAAACAGTGACAATGACATTTTGAATGTTTAATTTTCATACGGTGTTGCCATGATTTTAATTTAATTGACAGTTACAATAATTTTATTTTCAAAGAAGCAACACTATTGTTTGTCATTCAATGAAAATAAAAAAGTCAGAACAGATCAAAGAGTATAATAAGTATAGGGGAAGATTTTTTTGTCAATAAAGTAATAATGATGGTGATAGATTTTATTATAGCTCTATCAGGATATCGATCTATTAAAAAGTAGGTAGGGTGGCCATACCTCTCACGATATCGTCCTGATTTACCCGATTTTCAAAATATCGTATTTGCAGAGCCTAGAGCATTACGTTACAGAAGGGCGCAGCGAGAATCACATATGTATAAACAATAAAAAAAAAATTGTGGCCCTTATGACCTCATAAGGGCCACAATTGCTCAAAAGGTGCTTACTGAGAGCGATCTCTAGGTTTAATTTGCCTCTGATCCTTGTAACAGTGGTCTGAGCGTTTAGCTCAACTAGATTTTATTTGACAATTCGTCAAATACCACGAAAATAATCTTGATCTTAATAAATGGCTACAAGAAAATATTGCAGATAAATATTATTATATAAAAGCTCATGGCTCGCTTAACCAGGTACCTGCCTACTTAGCTATTAATGAATTATTTACTAACAATCCTTGGCATTTCCATGCATAACTTGTCTGATTTATCCTTGTGTTCGTTTTCAAGTGGAATGAAGGTTTCGGAAATTAATTATGCATGACTATTAGTTAGGTTAAGTATACAGCAAAGATTGGATAATACCTCCATGGCAAAGATAGAACTGATTAAGGAAAGTATTTTATGACCTAATTGAAATGGTTGACTACTTTGATCGTAGAATCCTAAAGTACTTAATAGCTGCTTACCGGGCAGAATATTCTGCTGTGCCTAAAATGGGTTTGAATTCATACCCTCGACTTATCGAAATTCCATTTATCCTTATCCCATTGGAGAACAAAATACGGTGTGTGTCATACATAGACCTAGACCTAGACAGTAGGCCTACTTATTATTGTAAAGCCCAGGTATGAAATGTAATGAAATAAAAAGCACTATTGGCTCGTTATCATAATATAATAGATATATGAGCCCTTTGTAGGGATTAAACAGTCAACGGAAGTTCACAAGAAAGTAAATAGGTGGTACCTAATTGGTAAGTTCGGTTCAAAGCAAGTAAATATATATGTAGGTCGATTTCACGTCATCTTAGAGTGACCTAATATGAGTTGTCGAAGGAATCACGATAGCAGTGAGCTATAATGCCGCGCACACGTAATTCATAATGAATTTTTAACTAACTCCTGACCTTTTGTGAACGAATTCTTGTCGTGTTTAGGGTGTTTCTTTTTAGGTGTAGCAAATTGTCAGATTTCTAGATTACTAGGGTATTTCGGCTGTTAGCACCAAATACGGATTGAAAAAACTGGATAACTCATACAGTCCTACATACCTAATTAATATTACAGAACAATCTCAATCTTACATTGAAAATTGAAACAAAAGTACCCTCGATCAAATCACACCGATAGATCGTCAAGTCACTAAGCTATAGAGTATAGAGAGACCGGATAGAGTTGAAACATAAAGCATCACATTCTTGTTCTTTAAAATACTTGGATAATTTAATTGGAACATAATATAATTAGGTGTGATTAGTGGAGGTACATACATAAAATATCCAGGGTACTAATAAATCACACCCCCTGTACAAGAACTGAAGAACAAGTTTTGTTCCACGAAGCTTTCATTGGCGTACATACGTGCAAACCACAATAAAGGTTAACATGGAACATCTGTGTCCTGGTTTCTGTTAATTACATCACCACCTTAATAATAACTAGAAAGTTTTGATTGGATATCAATAATTATTTTAGCTGCTTCTACAAATTATGAGTGGGATTTCATTTGATAAGTGTACAAATTGGACTGCGCTTGTGTTGAGTAAAAATGCAACTATGGATACTTGGTTTTGTGGTTTTCTTAGCACCTGTGTCAGGAGAGGATTTTCCGTCGCTGATCACCGCGAACGCTTCTATAGGTAAGTTGTAGTTCTGATTAGATTTAGAGCATTTCAAAATCTATTTGATATGCGTTACTACACAACTGTAAAAATGATATAAAAGCCAAGTATTTTAACTTTCCACACCCGTGTCGTAGTGATCATAGAGACATACTTTCAGCTGTAGTATTAGATCGTCAGTACCTAGGAGAAAAGTATCAAACAATTCTGGACGAGTTGAAAGACTATATCAAGGAGTTGGCGAGGGTTGAGCTCAAGCACGGTGGTGTCAATGTTTACTACTACTCTTGGACTGCTATCAGTCTCAAAAAAGGTAAAGAGATTTTTTTCTATTCACATATTACGTGTGCTGAAGAGGTTGGCATCACATTAGAACCTGTGATAAAACTGAGCAAAACCAACCTACTTACCTATATAAGTTAGGCAATACGAGTGTCTTCTTCTCTTGGTCGTAGTCGGAGTCGTGGTATTTTGCTAACCTTGTCATTGTTGTTATACCTCGGATGCATATTATGTTTCATTCCATTAAACCTACATTGTGCACTAAACTTTGAAGATCCACTTAAAAATATAAGTGTGGGAGAGTCATGCTACGTCACGAACGGGCCGGCTCGACCGGAGTGATACCACGGCCTCACAGAAAACAGAAGTGAAACAACGCTTGCGTTGTATTTCGTCGTATGTGTGAGGTTATTGGAGGCCCAATTACCCCCTTCTCCAGTCTCCCCAATCCCCGAATCCCCCACAATCCTCAAATTCCTGATTCCTAAAAGGCCGGTAACGCACTTGTAACGCCTCTGGTGTTTCGGGTGTCCATGGGCGACGCCGATTGCTTACCATCAGGTGATCCGTCTGCACGTTTACCGGTTTATGTAAAAAAAGAAATTGCGTAAATGCTGTATACATCTACTCGTTCTATATCCAAAGATATTAGGTTCCAAAATTGGTACTTAACTCCACGGTTTTTGTAGGTTTTCTAGCTGTATTCAGTATAGCATCCTGTGAAGATACTTGGGAGTTATTTTCTCGAACAGAAGAAGAAGAATTATTACTTTTTGCTCTAACCGAAGTGGATTGTCCAAGGTTACCATCACATTCAGCTATAACAGCCACATTCACAGATCCTGGTGAAGAGTTACCTCAGCTACTACTAGATTTGAGGACTTCTAATGCTTTTCAGTGGAAGTCTGCTATTATACTCCATGATGACACTTTGAGTGAGTATAAAGATGTACCTATTTAAAAACCCACGCACTTTCATCAGTTAACAATGTTCTGATAGGCCGTCTCTACCTATTGTGGTAGTTGTAAAAATATTATCTGATTTTACCAGGTAGGGACATGGTCTCTCGAGTGGTGCAGTCTCTAACATCACAAATAGATGACGAGAGTGCCTCACCTGTGTCCGTCACGGTGTTCAAGATGAAACATGAGATAAACGAGTACTTGAGGCGGAAGGAGATGTATAGAGTTCTATCTAAGCTACCTGTACAATACATAGGTGAGTTTTGTGACAAATCAGTTAAGGATCACTATTGAGACGAATACCTGAGATAAGAAAATTCATAAGTTGTAGACATAAGGGCCGAAAAATTCCGTAAGAACTTCTAACCGTATCTTTTTTTTAACCTTCCTAGTATCAGATAAGAGAAAAAAGCAGCGTATTAATTCACAAATTGACATTACTTTATATTTACGACTCGTGGTTACAACTGCGCTGAAACTGCTAATCAAAACTGTTATTGTTATCAATAATATTTAAAGCTTTGCTGCCGATGTCAACAATAAATCAGAATAACAGCAAATTGTACAATTGTAATTAATTTCTATTGCCTCTGCTGCACTGTTTTTCAATGTTTGGAAAGCTTCCAAAATTGGACAACTGTAGTGGGCTTACTAAGAATAATTTAGCTATTACAGATTTGTACCGTCAAAGTTAACCACAATTCATTGTTATTTGAATTTGTCTTGATAGGTATTAAATTTATCACTTAATCAATCTGATAATGACCGCAGTCTCGAATCTTTAGACTTGATTACTTACTTGAGACAAGTTTATGAGTTACCTATGTCAAATATCTATATCTAAAACACGGTGACGATGGTAGCCAATGAATTAGTTTGAAAGAAATTGAGACTGGTAGTAAATCTAGATTTCCATAAGCAGTAGAAATAAACGATAATCTTAGAGCTCTAACAGTAGACATAAAAATCGATATTAAAATACTTCCAGGTGAAAATTTCATAGCAGTAGTGACGTCAGATGTGATGACGACAATGGCGGAGACGGCTCGCAATCTGGTCATGTCACATACGATGGCTCAGTGGCTATACGTCATATCTGATACTAACGCACAGAATGGGAACCTGAGTAGTCTCATCAATGATCTGTACGAGGGAGAGAATGTCGCCTACATTTATAACATGACAGATAATAGCCCGGACTGTAAGGTAAGAAGAGTGATTTGACTGTACTTGAGTAATTTTAGTAAAGACCAGGTAGGTACAGGATTAGGTAGGCACGTAAATACAAGGGTAATATCGTGTGTGGCTAACCTAACCTAACACCTAAATCCTTAAGTAGCAATGTAAGAACAAGAACACGTTTTTAATAAAAAAATCCTTAAAAATCGACAAGAAAATGGCAATCACAATATGTAGAATGTTACTGTGACGTAAAAAGAAAGTACCTATATTAAGTATTTGTATCAAATAACTTAATGAATAATGATTGTTACCAATTCTACTACCTTTCTCTATGTTTAAAAAATACAATGTATGGGATGTTGAGCTATAACGTCATAGTATAACGTTAATTTTCCATGAAAAGTGCAAGTCATCAAAAGTTTAGACGCATTTCGGCTAGTTTTCATTGTACGACAAAACTAAGTACCTATACAG